ACTTTCTCTATACTACGTATATACGAGAAAGTAAAAAAGTCTACGTCAACTTATTTGTTATATTTTCAGAAGCCCATTTAACCAGGAAAGATCCTTACACAGAACAGATAAGTCCCGAGTTTCTCCTATCATGTGATTTTGTTTTGATGTGCAAGGTCAAATGAGAGGGGTTACAGAAGGTCACAAGTTCAGAAGATGAGCAATGACCAGAGCTCGCTGACAGTCCTTATCAAAGCTCCCTCATTGCCTTACAGCAGACGGCGTCTAAATTGGCCGTCTGCTGGTCCCCAATGGCCGGCCACAGATCTCTGATAGACGGCCAGAAGATTCACATTTTTTTTGTGGATAGAAAAATGAAATTACTAAAATAACTAATTTGATTGTTATTTCTAACTAGTATTTGGGAAAAATACGGATACAGGCATTGAATTTACTAGTAAATCAGTTATATTTAATTATGCGATTTATTGGAATATTTTGTTTGATTTTAACATCAGATCTCACTAAGTGTTAAATATGTGTAAATATGTTTGGTGCACATGTCCTTAATATTCTCAACTTTACTTTGAGCGGGAATATTTATTTAAAAAGAATTCTGTTTAAAAGAGTAGAAAATTTCCCCCACTAGACTCCACTGTAAAACTCATTAACTGGACGGCCAAGTTAAAACTAGTTTCACGGACGGCCAAAGGACCCCGACATCTCTCCCCCCCCCCCCCGACTTAGGAAATTCTTTCTATCCTATCTGCCATCTAATGCCGCTTCGCCGGCCATGGTTAGCAGACGAGGGGCTGAGGCAAATGGCGACTAGCTCCAGGACGAGATGAAATCATTCTTAGTCCGTATTACCTTAATTCTAACCATCGCCGGAAGCACGAATAACTACTGTAAGCACCCTCCGTTTCGAATTCACAATTTTCTAACATTAAAATGTTATATGAAGAAGTATAAATCCAGAAAAATAAAATAACTTTGAATAAAGTCCTTAAACATAATTATATTTAGGTTTAATGTATTAAATTTTACAGTAATGTAGTCTATACCCGAAACAGTACAATAAAAAACGGCAATAAGAAAGGCTGAAAGAGAAGACGGTCTACAGTATTGGGAGACGCGCGTTATTGCAAACCAAATAAGTGGGATCAGGAGGGGACTGCCCCAGTCCGAACCCCAATGAGTTTGTGTAATGAAGCGAACCAATGGAGCAGGGATCTTCTGCCTGGCCTCGTTATGACGGCAATCATGGCGGACAGCCTCTTTTTAGAGCTAGCGCATGCGCAAATGTGAGAATAATGGCTTCGCCCTTCAGACATAATACCTCTGGCACCAGCCCCTCAGATGCCGCTGTACTCGTTAATGGATCGGTGAGTTTTCGTTAGTAATGACTGCGGAAATCGCGCTGATTCTTCCGGGGGGTTTTACAGGGGAGCGGGACAGGCGGACTTACCCCTGCAATTCTCCGTGCCGGCAGGTCTATTTCAGTCTTCACACCCGCAGACGACCGTAACGGAATCGCCCACTTCCGGTTTCTGCGTGCTCGACCGGCGTTGTTGAGAGACGCAGTGTGGGCCCTGGTGCCATCTTCAGTGCCGTCCTACTTGATATACAGATGCAGGCTCAGGCAAATCCCCGCTCGACGCCAACATTTATTTCAACACATAGGACAGGGATCAAAGAGCTTTTGTCTACAGAAATTTTTTTATTTTCTCATGTTTTGTCAGTATAAAAATACATTTTTTTTTACGTTTAACATAAAAATATAAACTTTTGTTTAGATTTTGATAGACTGGTGAATTTAGGTAAAAAGAAAATTGTAGAAATATTGTAGCTAATCTTAGATTTAAAAAAAATTCCTATGTGTTTATTATTAGTGGGCTTATATTTTTATATAGGAATGTAGCTTTAAGAATGTAGCTGTTAGAAGAATATGTTTTAGGAAGTTAACGGACATTGTAGAAATATTCAGAATTTAGATTTGTGAAATTGTGGTAAAAGTATTTTACATTCCGGTAGCAAATCTATTAAATCTATGTAATGTGGGTGCGTAAATAAGTAAATACTTGTACAAATAAATAAAAAAAAACGTTTTTGTAATTGTATTTATGCTTTAAAAAAATTTTTTTTTGTTTGTGGCGGATATATTTGTACGTCTGCTGGTGGATGACTTGCATAAAGTAAAAAACAACAACAACACAGCATTAGGTTAGCGTTGTGATATATTACTAAAGGTTTATTTCTTTTACATTAAATTATATTGATGACTAGTAAAATTAAATATTTTGTGATTCTAAAATGTTAGTTAACGTGTAATTAAAGTGATTTTTTGCAATTTATATTATGTTTGCAAGGTAAATGTGTATGTTGATACCTGTTCACCAAGTTTATTGAATGATTTTTTTAATAAATCGCAGTTGTTTAAAAGAAACATTGCGATTGGTGTTGGTGTGTTGTATGCTGAATCCCGTCCACGCTTGATTTACCATTCACAGTACAGCACAGTCTACTTCATAGAATTAATTCTGAATAGGAAAAAGTAATCTAAGGGAGGTAATCAAATGAAACATTTAAACATGTAATTGTGAAGAGTACTTTCCCCTTATAAGCTACTGCAGTATTATTTAATGAAAATATTCCACCATATATTTCATTTCAATAACTACTCCATATGTGTATGCAAACGTACCCATTTGCTGCACAAGTAAAAAAAAACAATTGTTATGAAATTCGAAACCGATTACTTTGAACAGTTGTGTTAATTCGAGACATTGTATTTACTGCAATTTTTTTTAGAAGATTAAAGTATTTTTAACATAATATCTAATCATTCACTATCACTTTAAAGTTTCCTCAATAAAAAAAGTTACCTACCGGCTAGAGCTAACTGTTGATCGCATTTTTAATTATTATTCTTTTCCCACTTTCATTTTTGAATGTGGAAAACAGATCAATTGTTATTGAAAAAAGCAATTTCAATAATTGTTGTTTGTCGATTCATGTTGGGTGGGATGGAGGCCTAAAATAGGTGTTAATGGACGCCAGCGAGAAAAGTCTCAAAGGTATTTGAGAGGCCCATAAATTAATTTAAAAATCATGCATGGCGTAGTTACAATTAATATGGTTATAAAATCATGTCTGTTTTTTTTCGGACTTTACTAAAGACTGGATGTAAATGATGTTTTTAATATTTTCGGTAACTAAAAAAATGTCAAAAAAAAAAGCAAAAACAATTTGGTTTTCACGTGTAATGGCGACATAAACAATGGCATCCTGCTATTCGATAGGCCGCCAAAAACTTTATTGTACACATTGTAAGCTAAAAAAAAGAAAAACTAGGTCATGGGGTTTAAATTTGAATTGTTATTTAAAAACTTGATCTGCAAAGCTTTGTAAACAAAAAAACTATAAAGTGGGGCTGTCAGAAATCGATCACGGAGTTCCTGTACAGCAAATCAATTTTTGTCTTTCGAAAGTGAAACATCAAGTTATAACTTAGGCTTGATGAAAATAAATAGAAATGTAGCCTTAAACTCAACAAATTATTTTCAAGTTATCTGGATCTGCAACTTTTATAGCATTGATTCTAAAAATATTAAATTTCTGAATTAATTTTAGGCTTAAGTTTTTACTTTTTATTATTTTTACGGTCCTAAGTCTAAAAAAAGCACATTTTTATTCCATGTCTACAACATTACGGAAGGATTCTCGTCAACTCGTCAAATGAAAAGGAAACAAATAAGGACATTAAAAAAGGGATCATATAAATATGAGGAGATTATATTTTTGAAGGTGCTCCAATAATTGAATTTTCATTATACATTATTAACTTTAGTATCTTCATTTCGATTTGTTTTAGTATTCATTTACAATATTTTCTCAAAATATAGAAAGTTTTACTTTTCAATATTTTAAAATCGTTATTTAAAAAAAGTCACTCCTGAAAGGTGCAACATAAGCAAGACAACAATCTAAATTCATGTTCTTTTTTTTTTTTTTACTGTGGCTGAGAATTACCTCCCCTCTATAATTAAAACTTTTGTTTTCTTCTCTGAGCATAAAAAGTGTGTTTAAAAAAAAAAAATTAAAGTTCTATGAGAATTTTGATAAATATAATCATATAAAGGATCATATAAAGGTATGTTTATCAGACAATAGCGTTCTTTGCAAATATCCACGAATAAACCACACTGGGGAAAAAAAGAACGCTGAACATATATAACCATTAAAAATATATACTCAACCCCTATTCAAAGTTATATAAAAGGATAACTAAAGTTACCGAGAAGATAAATTAGTAATATGAAGGTATACGTTCTCTATATGAATGTATTTTTAATTATTGTAAATTAAATTAAAACTATTGACAAAATAATTTCTACTTAACAGAATGCAACTCGAGATACTAAAGTGACCTTATATTTGTTTGACCAAAGCACAAGCCACTAGAACACCTCAGACATACCACATTAAAATGTGGGTGAAGTCATTAAGATCAATTTTAGGCAAGTTATTATTCTTTTACTTTATTAGGTTAATTATGCAAATTAATTTACAGTAACACATTACGACACAGAGACAAACATCTCGATACGTAGACAGTGACAAAACATCGTAAAGACACAGCAACAAACACTAACGACACAGTGGCAACAGAAAGGCGAACAACAGTAACATGCGAGTTTAGTAATTGATAAACAAGCTGTATTGGTTTAATTGTTTATTGAAGCTTGTATCATTGGTTTCGTGATTGTATTGTTAATGTTTAACAATATTGACACTACATTCTTATCAATGGACATCTTAAATTGTACTCTATTTTAATTTTTTTTTAAACTGACCTACTGTCCTCTACATAATGGAAACGAGAAGGTTGGGCCGAAATGGAAGATAAATGGTAGGCCCTTCTCACGGAATTCGGGAACTATATATATATATATATATATATATATATATATATATATATATATATATATATATATATATATATATATATATATAATATGAATATAAAATGGAAATGGTAATACATTTTTGAAAAACGTAAAAATTACAATGAGTTCAATATGTATCCCATACCAATAGATAGGCTTATATACAACAGATTTAAAGTAGCAAAAAATCTAAAGTATTTTATATGCTGGTGATACAAAAGCGATAGACTGTCATGTAAATGCTGGTTTAGTCTGAAGCCAAGGACAAGACTGTCCTACCCAGGAGCAGTGACGTCAATAGTAGGAAATTCCAGAGCACTGCTGTGTGGCCTAAGATTAGAGGGAAATATGCCAAATATATTTTAAATAAACATGCAGCCGGGCTGGATTATAAATAGTTTTAATTTATGTCTTCTATTGATGCTACTTTTTTGTTTCCGCTAAGGTAAGTTATCAGCCAACCTGTGTGTCGTCTGTCTATAGATTTAATTTTTTTCTTTGTGAGGTCTGAAAATTCCTATTTGGTCTGACATTTTTTTTTATATTTGATCTTACATTTTCTTATATTTGGTTCGATATTTTATATTGGTCCGGCATTTTCTTATATTAGGTAGGCCTATACCATTTTCTTATATTTGTATATTTTTTTTCAGAAACCATACTCAATCCGTAAAAGAAATTCCTCGTCGTAAGCAGTCCAGTTTTATAAATGTTTTCCTGGTATTTAAACTATTTAAAATCTTATACGTGTAAGGTAGTGAGTACACCGTAAAAAAATACAGCACTTCTTGCTTTTTAATGTATTTAAAACAACTAACACTAACTCATAGTCCCATAAGCTCAAATATGTTTAAGTTAAATTAACTACATACGTAAAATAAATTGAGTTATAATACCCTAAAATACAATTACTTCCTGTAAAATAATTCAGTATAAAAATAACTTCATGTTAAATAGCTTTAGATTAAATAAATTCAACTTAAATGTCTTACCTGTGCTAAAGACGAAAGAAGTTGTTTTTTTGTATAGTCCAGTAACGTGTTTTGCAGAGCAAGTACATTGGATTCTATGAACGCTGCTGGTGTAGGGGAGGTTAAACACTTCACTGTACTTGTTAATTGTAAATGTATTACTGCCACATGCCATGGTGATATTTGACACACTTGGGTTTCCACCTACAACAGTACATTCGATAGCCACAGAACTCATGTTTGTGTTAAGTTGTATCGTCTCACCTTCTTTCACAATTTTGTTGTATACAACAACCACGGGGGGTTGGTCGGGAGGATATAGGGTAGCTGGAAGAAAATGTGGATATTTCCAATACATCTATTAAAAAAAATAGTTGTTTGTGTTTACAAGAGTCTGTTCGCCCGAGAGAATTATCTAAATCGAATTTTGGATTTTGAACTTTAAGTCCGACCTAAACACCCTCATCTCCTCCAAACATCTGTATTCCGGGATCCGGAAAAGTTAAAATTCTTCTCAAATTCATTACTTAAATAAGAAGTTTATTTTCCACCTGAATTCCAATGTTTTTTTTATCTACTTCTGTACTAACAATAAGACACCGCAATGTGTTGTCAATTATTATGGATATCTAAACCAATCTACGCCTGAAGTAAACTAGACCATGAGTTATACAAGATATTAAGGACAAAAACTTTATGATAGACCTTACCGTCAGCTGCAGATGAAACAGCCACACCTTGATGGAAAAAAACAAACATTTTTTTAGAACAGATATGATTTAAAAAGTATTGTTAAAAACAATTGCACTTTAAGAAAGCATTTTTTTTATTACTAGGTGTGTGTGTTAGGAAGGGGGGGGGGGGTAGGAGGGGGGAGGGGTAGGTGGGTTCAGAATGTTGTGATCATGCATGCCAAGAATAATAAAAATAAATTTTAGTTGGTACATCGGTCTCTTTTTTATTTTAGGGGTGGGAGAGGGGTGGGGGGGGTCGGATCTGGCTATCATGACATAGTGCAACGATAGTGGGGGGTGGGGGGGGGGGGCAAAATCGTCCGAATATGCGTTACGTCATGTTTGGATGACCCCTGTGTGGTCTTAAGCTAATTAACATAAAAGTATATTTCAGAAACTAAAAAATCAAAACTTACTTGACATAAGAAAAACCGCCGCCGAAAATACGTTCAGATACATTACGGCGTCTTTTTTAACAATCTGAAATGTAATTTTTTCTTTTGTTAACACTCGTTATAGATGTTAGTACCTTATGAATAAATACAGCACCTTTACAAATAACTTTGAAGAAACTTTACTAGATCCTTAAAGAGAGTGATTATTTCCCCAACGAGAGTTAGCTTGTCTTCCATTGTGTCAAATTATTTTTTACAAGGACTACAAACTAGATTGTGTGCGTTTATTGTTTTTGGTTGTAGTGTGTGTATATTTTCCGTTGTATTTTTTTTATTAATCCAACACTCCGATTTCAGCCTGCTTTTCTTTTTGGATTTGCTGCCATAGCCTTTGTCCAACGGCTGACCCCAGCTACGGGCCTCATCTGCCCGAGAGTTCGAACTCGAGACTTTTCAGTTTAGAAACCGACTCGACCACAGTAATGTTTGAATGTATTTGTCTCATTTGCGAAGCAATGTCATACAGCTAGTATGTATATATATATATATATATATATATATATATATATACAGTGGCGTAGCGAGTTTGGGTGTCACCCGTTGCGGCATTTAATGGTGTCACCCCCCCCCCCCAGAGGCGTAGCGACCCTTTCAATTTGCACCTCCCCTCAAACTTTCGATTTTCACCCTCCCCCCTCAAACTTTCGATTTGCACACCCCCCCCCCCCTCAAACTTTTGACTTGCACCTTTAAAAAGACTATTTAACACTCGAATTAATTACTTAATTAAGTGTATTTATCATTTTTCTCTATATATTTTGCTATTTTTTGCCTTGGTGTCATCCCCCCTAAATGGTGTAACCTGGTGCGGTCCGCACCCCACGCCCCCCCTCGCTACGCCTCTGAATATATATATATATATATATATATATATATATATATATATATATATATATATATATATATATATATATATATATATATATATATATATATATATATATATATATGTATATATGTAACTAGGGTAGTTACCATACTATTGTAAGAACGTATTACAGTCTGATGCAACAGTTGCAGGACTGATAACGAACACCAGGCCGCTGCGCAGTTAATAGTTCTGATGCAACAGATGGTAATTATTACGTATACGAGGGGATGATGGGAAGGCGACTGGTAGAGAGAGGCAGAACCCAGTTGGTTACTGAACGGTAAAGACGTGTGTGATTCGTGAGAATAGGAACGATGGACACGTGCATTCTGTTATGTTAGGACTAGTGAGGACAGTGGGGGTCAGTTGGTTCATTGTATTCTTGTGGAACATTGGTGCATTGTTATGTGGAGCATTTCTATTGATTCACGTAATAAAGAGATCAATGTAAACCTGCATTTCCGAGTATCTATATTGTGGTCGATGTTGTGTGCTGGTCAAAGGTAGCACGAGTAAATACACTCGGTAACATTTGGCGCTGTCAGCAGTGAAATCGGTAACATTTGGCACTACAAGTAAATAGACTCGGTAACATTTGGCGTTGTCGAGCAGAAGAATTCAACTAGACCAGCCGCTTTAGGCACCCATTATCAACCTAGTTAATAACTGTGTTTCGTGTGTGTGAATTCGGACATTCAGGAACAGGGAAAAGTATTCTTACATACACGGTAGGAAAGGTCTTTTTTTTTACTCAAAGAATTAAAATTAGAATGTCTAATCTGGACGAAAAGCAGACCCATATTGTGGTCCTGCCCAGAGAGTCCCACATCAACAAATTTTACGGGGACGGTGATCCAACCTTAACCAACAGGTTCAGTGAAGAGGTCAGGGCTGCCTGGGCCTCGAGATATATGTCACCAGAGCAAAGATTAAGATTGTTGATGGGCAGTATAGGAGAGACGGTTAGGGCAGAGGTCAAATGCCACGATAAAGCCCTCCAAACAGGTCCAGATAAGGTGCTAGATCTAATTATGGAGACCTTTGGGGAGAGACGGTCGGGATCGCAACTGCTATCGGGTTTCGTAGGCTTAAAGCAGAGAATGGCGGAGAGTGTGATGGAATATTCACACCGAATGAACAGGGCCTTTGACGCCGTAAAAGGCAAAATACCCGACATTGATGTGCGCCTGCTGAGGGACCATTTCATCGAGGGGCTAGCAACCCCTCTCTTAAGGAGAGACTTGAGGGAAGAGGTCTACAAAGACCCACAGTTGACCTTCCTTCAGGTCAGGAACTCAGCGATCCGCAGGTCCGAGGATGAGGACCAATCGAATTGTTCGGTAGACAAAGTCTCTGTGCCGGAACAGAAACAATCCCCACCCACAGGGACCGGCACGATGGAAACCATGATGGCTCAACTGTTGGTTGGTAAAATCTTAGTTTAGCGTCGTAAATTCCAAGGTAGCTAGTAATGTGCGATGAAGGTAACTAATGAATATTTCTTTCATTTGGCCATATTTATGTCATATTTTACATAATATAACAGATAATTGAATAACAAATCACAATCCAAGACCAAACCAGTCATAAATATCCTGGAATAAACTTTAAACCACCCCGTTCGAGACAACAATGAGTAAATACAATCAGCGGCCATGTTTTAAAAACAATAAATTGTCTATTCGCATGTCTTTTGTGTTGATTTTGTGGTTTAATATGATTGTTTTGTATTGTTTTAATATATGCTGGGGGTCGTCCATAAATGACGTCACACTCGTAGGGGGAGGGGGGGTCCGTAATTTTGTGACGTGTGTGATGAGGGGGAGGGGGAGGGGTTCAGATGGTGCGACGTCACACCTTTGCATTTTAAAAAAGCAATGTTACAAAACGAATTTTAGACGTAATTTTGCGTTTTAAAAAACTGTTTTAATAGATTGTAATAACAATTGATTAAAATACTCTATTTTGACAGAGTTCAGACAAGATTTTGGAAAAATATAGCTGTTTAAAAAAAATTCAACTGCAATTTTGAGGGGGGGGGGTTGTAGGCTGAGGTGTGATGTCATTTTAGGGGGGGGGTCTGGCTTTTTGTGACGACGTGTGACGGAGGGGAGGGGGGGGGGGGTAAAAATCGTCAAAAAAAGCGTGACATCATTTATGGATGACCCCCTGTATAGTAATTTTTCTTTTTTTTTAATATAGTTGACATGAATGACTAATAGACCTTATCAGACTTAATAGTGTGCATCCAAGACCACAACAATTGTTGGGAGGTCGAACTTTTGAACACTTTATTTGCAGTAAGCAAATCAATATTAGATCGCTCATAAATGACGTCGCTCTTAAGATAGTAACGACAGCGTGCATTATTACAGAACAAACATATGAACATATTGTTTCGGATAGAAATTGTGATTTGTGGTGGAGAGAGGTTGAGTAGAACTCAGCGATGTGATTTTGGAGACGGGTCAGGTTTTCTTTCTTTCGTGAAAACGGGATGGTTGTGAGAGAAAGACCAGCCGTAGAAGTATGACGCGTCATTCATTTGTGATCCATTTTCTCAGTTGGGACGAAAAAACTATTAAGAAGGGTTAAGAAATGTAAAAAGCTTGCCGAGTCGCATTTCTTGAACCCTACCTTTTTCATTCCCCCACTTAGCACATCGTCACCGAGTTAACGCTCGCGCGTGACGTCATGTAGCGGTACCGCCGACCGTTAGGCTAATTTTATAGAAAAAAAAACAAGCACTGCCTTTTTGACGCTTTTGCGACGTTTAGTTTGATTACATAAGTTGGTGTTCATTAAACAGCCCCTAACACATCTATCACTCGTCCATTTAAACGTAGTATTTATTTCTGCAAGCTTGCTGTCTTGATACTTTCGGCCCTTTAAAAATGTATTAAGCTCACACCGTATAGAACTAGACTACCCATTAAGCTCCAAAAGAAGCTTGGTGAAAACAGGATGGCCGTCCGATTTTGTAGCTGCTCTGCGCTTTATAAAAACCACAATAAACGATAAGATGACACTTATATTAAGTAAATTATAGTTCTGAATATTGATACATTAAAGGTGATATTCGGAAATTAAGAGCCAGACAGTCAACATGATATTTCAATTTAAGTCCAAGAAAATAAATTTCCTCAAACGATGGAACATTACTAAATTTTCGCGCAGTTTCGCGAAATTGAATTAAAGTATTTACGTCATCTTACAAAGCGCGATAGCCTACTGGTGCTCTAACGCGGCCCATGCTAATGGCCGTATTCCTAACGCCCCGCATTAGACGCGGCTTATTCGTCGGCAGGCATTTGGTGGCAAGCCTTTTTGACGGGGATAATGTGTTGAGGCCGTTTTGCCGAATGTCTTAAACTAGCAGGCTTGCAACATTTGTGATGATTCGTTTTAAGCAAAGTATACGTATACTAATGCTTATTTATCGTTATTTTGATTGAACAAAGCATTATAGAGGTTCTCCATCAATCACCTAGGTATTTTTCCCCGTTCACCTCCCTTCGTTCATGAGACCGACATGTCATAAATTGCAAAGCCGCCTGAGTTGACGTCACAAATCTTCACTCACTCCCGTAGCAAATCATATGTGACATTATTTAATTTATGGACAACCCCATATCACTCACTTGTGTACTTGATATTGACAATTTGACAACAAAGGATAACCAAAATGTGTCTAGCATGTGGAGACTTGCGATCGACCATAAATGACAACATGCACTTAAGCCTTACTTAAGGGGTGGACTAACTCATTGTTTTAGATATTTTACGAGGGAAGCTGGTGGATAATACATTTTGTCTCTCTGTATATATAAATGATGACAAACATTTAATATTGTCAGAATTATGGTTAGAGATCTTAGATAAGGCAGAGTGAAGCGTAATTTTTTACATTATGACTTGTTGTGACATTGACAACAAAAATATGATGGAGGATGGGGTTTAATTAAGGTAAAGAGAAGTAAAAAAAATATTATAAATTACGAAAGAATCACTAATTGATGAAAAGAACAACCTGAAATGAAAATAGTGAACATTCAAACAATAAAAAAAAACCTCAAACTAGATCTATATAGATCTAGTAATAGTAAGATCAAATAAAAATTAGTAAAAAAAAACGTGATTTAATACAT